CCATTGAAACAGAGGCCATTTGGTGATATTTTTCCTTTTCTTTGCTGTTTTTTCTTCTTGCTTAGTAGAATGTAATTGGTTTCAAGTTTTGGACTTTGGCGCTGGTTGACGAAGGATATTATGGCTTAGATATTGGATGAAGAAGAGGGAATCAGATGAGAGGAGGAAATGGGAGATTTCAGGTTGACCTGTCATTCTAATGTTGTCCTATGTGGCAAATTCTACACCTGGGGCTTAATAGATAAGGTTATCCCACTAGACTGAGCTTACATGGAATGGATTGCTCTTGAAGGCTGGGACATTGGTCCCCTCACCTTAAATACTCGTGCAGAGATGGAATATCTCATCGTTGCTTTGGGCCTTTTGGTCCAATTGTCGGGACTTTAATACTATTCACATAGAAAACTAGTCTCACAGAATGAACCTGATGAGCATATGAATATGGGATTACAGACTTGAATCATGGCAAAAGTCAAAATGCATTCATCTTATTTTAAGACTTAACAAGGGAAACAAAACTTGAACCAATCCATAATGCTACATAGCATCCGTGGTCTTAACCCTTTCAAGTCCATAGATACACTAATAAGCTTACATTTGAAAATATCACAGAACTAAATATTTACTTATATTTACCACCATGAAAATGCCTTCCTATTTGTGCGTGATCATTCTTCTCTCACCCATGTTAAGATTATAGCAACTAAAGGGCTTGATTACGACTCTTGGCCGAGCTCCCATAACAGTACCTGCCTGTTGCCATCCCTAGTTGAAACAAGGATATCATGAGAACTGAGTATACACATTTTGAAAGAAAGAAATACATAGTCACTTCATATCAGCTACTAGTATACCAGAATGCTCTCTTCCATAAACCCTTTACAAAAAGTTTCAATAAAAAGTCGACTACAGTGAGATTACAAGTAGCCGCAATTTATAATCCTCTCCTTTCTCAAACCGTACAAGGTTTCAACTGATAAAATCCTCAAACTTTATCATTCGAACAAATTGTGACTTGTGAGTACAATCTGGAATTATTTATTCAACAAATGAAAATCAGATAGAGAGCACACATAGTAACATAAGCTGAAATAGCAATCTGATATGATAAATGTTAGAGACCTAAATATTAGACTTAGTGGCCGCTCCTATATTATCATGCCAAAAAGAAGGATTTGTTGATGTTGATTGTTCAGTTAGTTAAACAACTTTTCATTTTGTTGAAGAGTAAAATGGGCATGCTTACCAATCATATAAGGCATTCTTGAGCAATCAGGTGGTCTCGTATGTTGCTTCTGGCCTGTCTCGATTCACTTGGTTGAGATTCACATGTTGGGGAAGGAGATTGTATCTTACACCCAGCTCCTCAAAAATTCTCTTCAATTCAAGGACCAATTCAGTTCTACGCCTGTTCTTCTCTCTAAAGTCCTGGAAGTTCATTGTATGATTACAATAGAGAGCCATCTTTATCTTATTGACATTCTCAATCTCCTTCACAACCACAAGGTGGTTAGGATGCCACAAGGTATTGGTCTCCAAATGCCTGGTTAAACATGACAGCATAAAGAATATGAATCGCACAAGACCAACATGAACTTTGAATGCAATGCAAAAAATTAACAAGAATTGATTTTTTCGCTAAAAAGCTATCAAATTATATGTTTCATTCCTTATTATTTACTGTGGATAAGGATTTTCGGAGTCTGGCTGCATTAAGGGATATGCAAGCATTCGTTTTCAGGAAACTTAAGATGCAGGGAAACATAATTCACAAGACTATGCCAATTAGATATCATCTTGTCAGATTTAGATGCTTAAAGTAACTCTGCTTCTCCTAATTCCTTTCAACTAAAACAGAGAGATGTGTCAGAAGGTCATTAGAACTTGTAGGCTTACAGAGAAGAGGGTGCTGGTTAATGAATCAGACAGCTCACACAATTCTACAGGGTCCAGAAAACACTCCAATGCTACAAGCAACCTATGAGAACATGTAGCTACGACAGAGAAATTAAGTCTACAGGGCCAGACTAGGGGAAAAGTATTTATTCCTTTAATAATTCTTAAGGCCAATGAAAATGCCAAAGCATAAGGACACCTGCTTGGAACTATAGCAATGTTTGATTTTCTCATAATCCAATCTTATATGAATTAGAGGTATCCAAACATTTGACTCATTAGTTGGTGCATAATCTCTGTCTACAAGCAAGATTCGAATCCCCTTCCTTCAATTAAATAAAAAAAAATCTTTCATGAATTAGAGAAAGAATTAAGCTACAATCAACTCACTTCTTTATTTCTTCGTTCAGCCTGCCTATTGTCTTCGCTGGTGTCATAAAATCAATTGAGAACTCTATA